TTGAGGGAGTCAAGGATGGAGGATTAACCAACTTCCTCAAGGGCGCCACAACTAGTAAATAACCAAACTACATGTGAACACAATTTGATTAGGGTGAAAAGAAAGTGTCAACAGTCAACTACCAACAGCAAGGTAGCTCATAAACCTTCTGATAAAGAAAATATTTGTCTATATAAAAATAGTGTGTATTCTGTTTATTGAGAGAGAGGCAAATTTTAACTTTTAATGCTAAATATTACACAGAGCTCTATTTGAAAGCATTATTCCTATAGTTATTGGGTAAAAAAAAATTATTATAGTTTTTAAACCAATTAAGATTTCATTTTCAATAAACTGAAATTCAGAGTACCTTCTTTACAGTACATCTCAAGCAACAGTGTCCTAGTTAATAGCAATTGTTCTTATGCCCTTATTCAGGTTGTGATGTTATTTTAAACTCACAACCCATGTACATCAGGGAAACAAGGTGTATCTAAGGGTACCTATTGAATAGGACCTGGAGAATGGTGAGGGGGCTAGAAGGCAGATTGAGCCTGCTTTGATGAAAGTAGGCCAATTTTTATATATTTTGTATATTGAGGCTCTATTTTAAGTTTTGTTTGAACCATGAGTAAAAAAAAACAAAAATAATAGCAATAGTAATAATGAAAAATGGCAATATTATTATGAGATTAGCTCTTCAACACAATACTTTTCAACTTCAACATTTTATAAATGGGTAAAGAGATTGTACATGTATACACCATGGAATTCTATTCATCCAAACAAAGGAATGAGATCTCATCATCTGCAGCAACATGGCTGGAATTGGAGGTCATTATGTTAGATGAAATAAGCCAGTCATAGAAAGTAAAATATTGCATGTTCTCACTCCATATGTAGGAGCTAAACATGTTGATCTCATACAGATGGAGAATAAAATGATGGTTGCCAAAGACTGGGAAGGATTTGAAGTGAGGCATGAAGAGGCTGGTTAATGGGTACAAAAATACAGTTGGAGAGAATAAATAAGATCCAGTTTTCAATAGCACAGTACAATGAATATACTTAACAATAGTGTATTAGTCAGGGTTCTCTAGAGAGATAGAACTAATAGGATATATGTATATATGAAAAGGAGTTTATTAAGGAGAACTGACTCACACGATCACAACATAAAGTCACATGATAGGACGTCTGCAAGTTGAGGAGCAAAGAAACCAGTAGTGCATCAGCCTGAGTCCCAAAACCTCAAAAGTAGGAAGCCAACAATGTTCAAAGGCCCAAGAGTCCCTGCAAACCACCGGTGTACATCCAAGAGTCCAAAAGCTGAAGAAGTTGGAGTCTGATGTTCTAGGGCAGGAAGCATCCAGCACAGGAGAAAGATGAAGGCCGGAAGACTCAGCAAGTCTTCTCTTTCCAACTTCTTCTGTCTGCTTTATTCTAGCCACACTGGCAGCTGGTTAGCTGGTGCCCACCCAGACTGAGGGTGGGTCAGCCTCTCCCAGCTCATTGACTAAAATGTTAATCTGATTTGGCAACAACCTCACAGACACACCCAGGAGCAATACTTTGCATCCTTCAATCCAATCAAGTTGACACTCAGTATTAACCATCACAGAGAGTTTATTGTATATTTCAAAATAAATGTACTCAGGAAAATATACCTTAGTTTTGAATCTCTTATTATGACTGTGTCTCCTTATTCTGTAAATAAGCAGGACACTATTCGGAAATTTTTTCCTTTATCAAAAGATTCCCCCCTTACTTTCTTTTTACTACTTCTTTTCATCCTTCTTTCCTTTCTTCCATCCTTCTTACCTTTCTCACTTTTATATAAATAGATCAAAATTATAAAATATGAAAAATATATAAAGTTTAAAAATAAAATCCACTTATCTATGTCTTTCTCATACGTTAACACTGCCTAACATTAAAATGAATGAGCAATTAGTATAATTGATTTGGACAGTTGTATTGAAACCCACTTGCAAGATGTGTTTGCTATTGACTCAGCCAGGGGAGATGGCCAAGTTCAGCTGATCTTTTGCTGCTGCTGCTAGTGCTTTATAGAAGACTCCTGAGAGAGGTTGTTCAAATTTGGAAAATTAACCTCTAGTCATGATTAATAATCTTAGTATGGAAAAGATAGCAAACAAATTTCAAACAATTTATACTACATATTTTTAAATTATGTTTGGGCTTTTATTTTTTTCAAGGTCTACTCCTGTGTTTTTTCATTTATTTATTCATTTATTAACATATTCATTTTCGTTTATCTTATTTTATTTTCCCATTCTTCTCTCCCTTCTGTGAACAACTATTATAATTTATGAGATGCTTGGCATTTATTCATAAAATATGTAATGATTTATTTTGCATGCATATTATTTAAATCAGCATAAATACCATTACCCTATAGGTCAGATCCTGTTTCTCACTTGTTTTTAACCTGGCAAAGACTTTAGGATGGATCCACCTTCTGGTGTTAACACCTGGTATGGTCTGTTTCTTCCAGCCTCTGCCAAGTATTTTCATCATGAGCATTCACAGTACTCTCAATGCCTCTTTCGCTTGATACCTCCACCTCCTCACAAATACCTACCCACAAAGAGAATTTTTAGGTGATAGAGTGTGTATATGCTTAATTTAACTACATTCTGCCACACTGCCCTCCAGAACAGTTTCACTCATGTGCATTCTCATTAAAATAATTACATGTTTATAAATTGTAAATAAGAGGTTGTTTTATTTTATCTACTTATAGTCATAGTATTCTCACATTATAGAGAGAAAATAAACCAGAACAACCATCTACCAAGAATATCTCCTTGATGAAGTCAAGGTCACCAATCCCACATCCCAATCAACACATGGCATTTTATGGTTTTCAAACGTGTCCCAATGTGATGACAGTTAGGTAATATATTATGACTTCAATTTGCACTTTCTAATGACTAATGAATCTGGGGTTTTCTTCATATACTTGCAGAAGTTTTGGAACTTCCTCCTGTGTGAATGATCTTTATTTTACTAATTGCTTAGATATTTCCAATTGTTTTCTAGTAGACCATCATTTTTATTAACTTTTATAACATCATAAAATGTTAGACATAAACAAAGGGGATGAATTGTGTAGTGCCTACCACATATGAAGTGTTAGAAAAATACATGTGGAATGAATAAAATGAACAGAAATCATGAACTTTTGTGTGGCATATGTTTGGGTGTAGAGTAACCTGTAGGAGTTTTAACTACCTGAATAATTTTAGTCAATAAGATGTTTTTGATGTAATGGTAAATAATAAATATAGATCAAGAAATAACATAACATGAAATTTTGTATTATAAAGAGAGGAATAACTTTTGCCCATTTAAGGAGCATAGAGTATTAAGTAATCCTAGAGATTATGAAAACACATATTTCAGAATATTTTATGTTAATATTTTTAAAGTTCTAGAATTACCTAATTATTGTCTTTTTCGGTGTTTAGTAGCCTATTAAGCCAGAGACTTTGCAAAAAATCCTATCATCACTGCTACACATTCGGCAAAAATCCAGACTGTCTTAATTTCCTGTTAAAAGCTATTAAAGGCCAGGCATGGTGACTCAAACCTGTAATCCCAGCACTTTGGGAGGCTGAGGCCAGTGGATCACTTGAGGTCAGGATTTCAAGACCAGGCTAGCCAACGTGGTGAAACCCTGTCTCTACTAAAAATGCAAAAACTAGCTGGGAGTGGTGGTGGGTGCCTGTAATCCCAGCTACTCAGGAGGCTAAGACAGGAGAATCACTTGAACCTGGTAGGCAGAGGTTGCAGTGAGCCTAGATCATGCCACTGCACTCTAGCCTGGATGACAGAGCGAGACCCTGCCTCAAAAAAATAAATAAAAATAATAATAATAATAATAATAATAAGCTATTAAAATAGGTACTTTCAAGGAATTTAATTGAAGTCTCATCTGTGCAGTTTCATCCCTGAAATTTGTAATAATCTAAATACTTTAAATAAGTATTTAAATAATTTAAATAAAAGAAAATACAAATGTTTACTCATAATACTAAATAATAAATATAATTCACATGGGTACTATTTTCCAGAAAATCTTTCTAAAACGCAGTGTAAAAAGCTGTCTTGAGATAGAAAATGCTTACATTCAAACCTATTAAATGATAAAATACATTATTGAACATCCACAGAGCATAATAATTTTCAACAAATTTTTGCATGCATTTTTAAATAGTTTATATAATTTTACAATTAACAAATATTTTTCATATATATTTGAAATGCCATATTTAATTTTCATACCTACTAGGACCTCTTTTGAGATAAACAAGGAGTGATTTGTTATACCTGTACATCATTCATTATTTTAATATGGCTCATAGAATTTGTAGGAAGATAGACAATAGAAAAGGGAAATATTACTAAATGACTGTGTTCAGTGGTCATCTTCCCTATGGTGTCTCACTGTAGGCAATGAGCCAGGATAAAAAAATTGTCCCAATCTTTTGAACTGCAGCACTGAAACAACTAGGGTGGGAAACTGAGGTGGGGCAAAAAGAATTTCCATTGGTGTATTGTGGTATGGAGCAGATCATGTAGTTTACAGTGTCAGGTATATATCCAGGCAAGACCCTAGTTATCTGTATAATTTTTTCAGAAATTTTATTAACGATAGTAGTTTTTTAGAAGCATTTTTAAAAATTTTACAGGATAATTATGTTTTGTAAATTTGCCCTTTTATTTTGGCATGTGAAGAATGAACAGGTAAATTCAACAGAAAAAGCATGAAAATAAGTGACTATTCCTTTTCATAGTATGTGCTCCTGCAGAAATGTGACAATGCAATTTCTGAATTATAATAACTTTGAATTCAAAATCATCTGTTTATTAATGTAATCTTCTTCCTTATTTTTTTAAAAAAGTGCTTTATTTTCCTCTTTCAGCGTGCTATATTTTTCTTTAGTGGTGTTGTCACTGTCTTTTACATAATTTTCTCATTTTATATATACAACAGCCTGGGATTGTTGAAATAAACCTAAGGCCCATCTGAAGATAAAGTTTCCTTGGAGTAAGTTATAGAAAAGTCATTCTTGTTTGTGTTATTGTGAGCCTTGTTATGGACTTCTTTTACTATTTGACTATAGTTTAAAAGCTTTTCCCTTTCTTACTTGCAAGTGATAATATGCTTTCTAATATATATCATAATCATTAAAACTTTTAAAGATACAATCATGCCATGTTTAGAATTTTCCACTGGAGCCAATGATGATCAATAGGTAATTTCACATAGGCATCTGTGAAGCTCGTTTTAAACCTAATGGTTCAGACCAGGCATGGTGGCTCATGCCTGTAATCCCAGCACTTTGGGAGACTGAGGCGGGTGGATCATTTGAGGTTAGGAGTTTGAGACCAACCTGGCCAATGTGGTGAAACCCTGTCTCTACTAAAAATACAAAAACTAGCCGGGCGTGGTAGCACGCACCTGTAATCCCAGCTACTTGAGAGGCTGAGACAGGAGAATCCCTTGAGCCTGGAAGGCGGAGCTTGTGGTGAGCAGAGATCGCAACACTGCACTCCAGTCTGGGTAACAGAGTGAGACCTGTCTTAAAAAAAAAAAAAAAAAAAAACTAATGGTTCAACGACATAATTGTAGTATTTAGACATTTTTCTCAAATAAAGCTGGTAGAGTTCACAAATACTTGAGCACTACCTTGGATGGGTTCATCTACTATATATACCCAGTTCACATAGCTGCATGTCAGAACAATGTGAATCATGCCACACATGGACCCCTCAATGACTTTCACAGCTCACATAAAATGGACCAAAGGAGCTAGATGTAAAATATTGAAATATTAATTATGTTATACTTTTATTTTTTCTGTGAAATTATCTTTTTAGATAGGAAAAATGAAATGCCCTGACCAGGTCAGGCCAGGCCAGCTACATAATTTATAAAACCCAATGCAAAATTAAAATGTGGGTTCTTTGTTCAAATGTTATTAAGAATTTCAAGATGACAACAGTAGAGCATTAAACCAAGCATAGGCCTTTCTGAGCACAGGGCCTTGTACTGGTGCACAGGTCACATACCCATGCAGCTGCCCTTCCTATAACCTTCCTAGTATTCCTCAATTCAGGGATGTCTGGCATGCAGTGAAGAAAAAGACACGAAGTGGCATTCTATTTCATCTGGAGAAAATAGAAGCTACAACAGTTTCTGAAATGGAGAAATCCAAATGACTTTTTTCTACTACTCCCATTTCATGATAAAATACCAAATACATTCCTCTAGTAGCTTGTTCCCCACAGAAAAATTATATTGGGAGTTCTAAGTGTTTGTTTTATTTCCTATACGAAATTGGTCTAAGCAGTATACATTCAATAATGTTTTTTATGGCAGTGTGAACAGAATGCATGCGTTTGATAATACTAAACAGATTTTCAAAAGCAAAATTTTGCATGTTGTATTAAATATATTTTATGTGTTCAGGTAAGTTAATGAGATCAAACTACATCATGGTTTTGGTATTACTGTTGCAGAGAACTTGGAATTGATGTTCTCTGAAATGGTGTGCTGAGTTGACTTCTAAATGCAAATAAATGTCTTCGATGCCCTATGTACCCAGACTGGAGATAGCACACATTTGATTTTATATTCAATTTGTCTTTTTAGGGATGCAAGTATTGGAATGGAATGGAATTCCCTTGACTTCTAAAACATATGAAGAAGTTCAGAGTATCATTAGTCAGCAAAGTGGGGAAGCAGAAATATGTGTAAGACTGTGAGTTTTTCCCCATCTTTCTGTTTCCATTTTTTGGCTATCCATGACTCTTTTAATTTAAAATTGTTAAGGTGGAACCTTTGCCAGTTAGCAAGATTTTCTGTAATTATAAAATAAAGTGAATCAAAGCCTAAAGCATAGAAAGAATTCAGCTAACTTAGTTTCTGATTGTGTCAACAGCCTCTTCCCTTTCATGCTTTTATGGAAACGTGCTTCATTTAAATGAAAGCCTGAACCCATTTAGATTTCATGGATATGTATTTACAAATGAACTTACACTTAATTCATAAAGATTTCACCTTAAATAATCATTTTTATCAGCTCTGACTTTTAACAGCATTGCAACTATGTATTTGTTTAGGAGGGTAAGCATGCTTTGGAGTTGCTTTATATCATTAACCACTTCTCATTTACCTACTGAAAAAAATTAAGGGTAGTTGGAAAAAAGTGCTGTTTGTCTCAGATTTCCTCAATATCTTTCTTAATGTTTTGTTTTAATTTTTAGGGACCTCAATATGCTATCAGATTCTGAAAATTCCCAGCATCTGGAACTTCATGAGCCACCAAAAGCTGGTAGGTAAAAGAAATTTAGTTTCAACTGTAAATAAAGAGGTAGATATAGAAGTAGTTGGAGAGGCATATATAATTGTAGATGAAGATATAGACATAAACACAGATATAGACCGCGATAAAGTTATGAATAGATTGTTAAATATATTTATATAATTATAAGCAAAATCTAGGGCATTGTAGCTACAGTTTTAGCATTCTGGGGAAATAAGTATTTGCATGTTAGTCCCCTTAAACAAGTTCATGTAAAATCCTTGCTGCATGAATTCACAGTTTTAATTCTTTAAATATGAATTCATCCTTTGAAAGTAACGCTTGGAGCCATTTCTTTTTGGGTTTACATAATTTTTAGAGCATACTTGATTCTTTTTAGAATAACTGGGTTTAAAAAAAATCTTATTTCTGAACCTTTTCATTTCCTTTTTATAGTAAACAAAAATCAACATGTAATTTCATAAGTACACGGTGAGATAGATTTAATTCTTTCTTTGGATAACAAATATAATCTACAAATTTGTTAGATCTATTGTAAGATTAAAAATATCATCTTTTCCTATGTTAAATAAATTTTTGTTGAGCACTTTCTACTCTTACAGCCACAGTTCTAGTAGTCTGGCTTATTGCACTAAGCAGAATAGACCAAGTGCTATACGAATTTTAATACATTTGTAAATATAAATAAGTCCATTAAAACTTTCCCCTTAGAAAATTTTCTCCTTAGAGAAAGAATGATGTAAAATTTAGGGAAGGAAAAGCAGCTAATCATACAAATTAAGTTCCAATGGATAAAATAGGATATTGCATCATTCAAACAATTCTCTATGTAAAATATTAAAAACATTTTTCTGAAGATGCAACAGGAACTTCACTATTCCTCTGTAATTCAGCATTATGTTACTCTTCTCAGAGCCTTGTAGACTTCCTTGGAAACTGATACATAGAAGTGCAATTAAGTTAATTTCATTTTTAAAGTTTAGCTTATTTTATAAGTAATGTTTTACCTTTGTCACCTAGAACTCACATAGTTCCATGGTATTATGGAGAAGTATGTAAATCTATTTCATTTTGTTGTAGTGGATAAGGCGAAATCCCCAGGGGTTGATCCTAAGCAGTTGGCAGCAGAACTCCAGAAGGTTTCACTACAGCAGTCACCGCTGGTTCTGTCATCGGTTGTTGAAAAAGGATCTCATGTTCATTCAGGTCCTACATCAGCAGGATCCAGTTCCGTTCCCAGCCCTGGGCAACCAGGGTCCCCGTCAGTGAGCAAAAAGAAGCACAGCAGCAGCAAGGTGAGGAGTGTTTGATGTGACCTCTGACCCACTTGTTTTCTAGCTCTTTATTCAGACCAGAGATAGAAAATAAAATATCATTTTCTAAAGTATTTTTCTTATGATTTCTCATTTCCAGATGATCTGTCAAAACAGGAAACATTTTTCTCTTCTGAGTACAAAACTCATCAAGATGTACCAGGATGATGTATTTCTACATCTTTTAAATATTTCAGTAGTTATTATGAGGAGCTTGAAAAATGTCTCTGATACTTTATATTTTCTGGCTCTCTTTGTTGTTGCATGTATCTGAGCTTTGTATATAGAATATTAGCTTTGCATCTTTTAGGAAACAAAAGGTACATATTACATTAGATTTTATAATTAAGTAAAAAGGACACAGCGATAAAGAAAATTTAAGACAATAACAAACAAGGAAAACCAGTAACATATTATCACCACTTTGAACTTTATCTTCAATTCCATATTAAGCATTTTTTATTGATGCAAATCTTCATTCAAAACAAATGCTTCCAATGCTATTGTTTCAAAGTGCCAAGGAATTTAAAAAAAATAAAATTATTTTTTAACCTTATAAAAAGCAGAGGAAATATAGACAATTGATGATTTCCCTCATAGATTTGATTCTTAAGAAAAACTATCCCTGTAGTTGATAAATACATGGGGAAAAAAGTGTCCTTTTGTTAAACATGAATAAAGATTTATCTTTATATAGTGAAATATATGGGAAGGACAGGCTATATATGCTTAGGTCAAGTGACCAGACATAAAAAATAAAGTTTGTTTTTTAACTATAAAAATACAGCAGCTGTCACCAAAAAGAGAATCCTTTTATTCAGAAGCAAACAACAAAAGTAGGTTGACCTTAATCATTGCATCATAAAATGATTTGTTTGAAACTAAATATAGAAAAGCTTCATAAGCAAAGTAATTTCAAGGGCAGTTAGACTAAATTTTGAAATAAGTTTTAACACAACTACATTTTACCACAAGCAATTATGTGCTAATTTTGAATAATTACCTTATAGAGGCTCTATTTTGATAATCATTTAAAAATAATTAATAAACTAGCCAACTAAAATACCAACATAATTAATACTAAATTCTGTTTTGTAGATGTTTCTATGTTATAAAAATATAATTTGAACATATTTGAAAACAACTTCTTTTTAAATTAAGCAATTAACCGTCTCATACAATATTGCTTATATTTTTAAATTTTAAATTATTTTTAATTGACAAATAAAACTCATATATGTTTATACTGTACAGCATGAGGTTTTAAAATATGTATACATTGTGGCCGGGCATGCTGGCTCATGCCTGTAATCCCAGCATTTTGGGAGGCTAAGGCAGGCAGAGCACTTGAGACCAGGAGTTCGAGACCACCCTAACCAACACAGTGAAACCCCATCTCTACCAAAAAATACAAAACTTAGCCAGGTGTGGTGGCACGTGCCTGTAGTCTCAGCTACTCAGGAGGCTGAGGTGGGAGAACCACTTGAACATGGGACACGGAGTTGCAGTGAGCAGAGATCACACCACTGCACTCTAGCCCAGGGGACAGAGTGAGACTCTGTCTGGAAAAAAAAAAAAAAACATGAATACGTTGTGGAATGGCTACATTGAGCTAATTAACATGGATTACCTCACTTATTTTTTGTGGTCCAAACACTTTAAATCTACTCTTCATTCCTCTGAAGTATTTGGCTTAAAAAAAATTTTTTTTAAATCTACTCTCTTCACAATTTTCAACAATATAATACATTTACTATTAACTGTAGTCACCATGTTGTATAACAGAGCTTTTAACTTCCCCCTAAGAGAAGTTTGTACCCTTTGACCATATTCCAATCTTTCCTTTTCTCTTAGCCCCTGGTAACTACCATTCTTCTCTATGCTTCTATAAGTTCAATTTTGTTAGATTCCACATATGAGTGAGATAATGTGGCATTTATCTCTCTATGCATGAATTAGTCCACTTAACATAATGTCCTTCAGGTTTATCCATCTTATTACAAATGACAGGACTTCCTTGTTTTTTAAGGCTAAATAGTATTCTGTTGTGTATATATAACACATTTTCTTTACCTCATAATCAATTGGTAGACACTTAGGTTGGTATTATATCTTGGCTATTGTGAATAATGCTGCAGTGAACCTGAGATTGTTGGTATCTCTGACGTACTGATCTCATTTCCTTTGCATATATGCTCAGCAGTGAGATTGCTGGATCATATGGTAGCTCGATTTTTAATTTTTTTGAGGAACCTCCATACTGTTTTCCATTATGGATATATCAATTTACAATCCCAACATCAGTGTGCAAGCGTCCCCTTTCTCCACATTCTCACCATCACTTACTATCTTTTTTCTTTTGGATAACAGTCACTTTGACTGGGGCGAGTTAATATCTCATTATAGTTTTAATTTGTATTTCTCTGATGATTAAAGTTGTTGATTTTTTATATACCTCTTAGTCATTCGTATGTCTTCTTCTGAGAAATGTCTATTCCAAATCTCTGCATATTTTTAATTCAGGTTATTTGTGTTCCTGCTGTTGAGTTGTTTGACTTTCTTGTATATTTTGGATATTAACACCCTGTCAGATGTATGGTTTGCAAATATTTTCTCACATTCTGTAAGTTGTCTCTTCATTCTCTTGATTGCAACAATCAGCTGCTGATTGACTATGCAAAAGCTTTTTAGTTTGTTATACTTCTATTTTTTATTTTTGCTTTTGTTGCTTGTGCTTTTGGAGTCATGTCCAAAAAATCTTTTCTCAGACCAATGTCATAGAGCTTTTCCCTTATGTTTCTCTCTAATAATTTTAAATTTTCAGGTCTTATATTTAAATCTTTAATCTATTTTGAGATGATTCTTGTACATGGTGTGAGATAAGGGTCTAATTTTATTGCTCTGCATGTGGGATGTCCAGTTTTCCCGGTACCATTTATTAGAGAGACTATCCTTTGCCCATTATGTGTTCTTAACATCTTTGTTGAAAGTCAATTGACTGTAAATGAGTGTGTTTATTTGGGGGTTATCTATTGTTTTCCATTCCATATGTCTGTCTGCTTTTATGCCATACCATGCTGCTTTGATTACTATAGCTTTGTGGTGGATTTTGAAGTCAAGTAGCATAATTCCTCTGGTTTTGTTCTTTTAGCTCAAAATTGCTTTGGCTATTAGAGTCTTTTGTGGCTCTAAATGAATTTTAGGATTGTTTTACTAGTTCTATAAAAATTTCTTTGGAATGTTTATAGAGAAAGTGATTGAGTGGGTGATTCACTCTGGAAGGGAGCCGGGAGGTGCTGAGCATTAAGCAAAGAAGTAAAAGAAGGACTTTTCTACCTTCTGTGCTCCTCAGCAGTTCTTGTATTAAACCAGTCTTTTACTTGATGAATGTATTTTAAACTTTACTGTATAGATCTTTAAAACCTGTAAGTACTTAATTAAGTGCTTTAAACCTAAAGTGTTCATTTTCTTAAGTAATTGAAAATACTGCTGGTATAAAATTACAGCTTCAAAGCAGGCTTACCAAAATGAAAAACAGATTTATGCATCTATAAAATTAAATGTGTATTGAGAACCGTAAGTAGACACCATTATTCTGAAGCAGCCAAATGGATAAAATATATTTTCCAAGCAGTTGCTCTGACCAAATAGAAACTAATTTCAGAAGAAAGCCGAAATGATAAATTCTGTGAATAATGTATCTATTAATGCAATATGTGTTCTTTAATATTACAGCCTACCGATGCAACAAAGGTTGTCTCTCATCCAATTACGGGAGAAATTCAGGTATGAAGTTTTTTAAAAAGTCGCCATTATATAACCTTTTTTGGTTCTTCTGCCACTGGTTTATTGAAATTGTAAACACACTGTTAGGATTTTTCTTATTCTGTAACATATACAGAACTGTAAAGGAAAAATGCAATTTTATAGAATAGTATATTAATACAAATATATGTTTTATGAATTCCAATCATAGCTATGTATTTCTATACTTTGAAATCTGCCTGGTATCTTAGCAGTGTCAACATGTTTTGTGCCTCAGTTTCTTTATATTTGTCTAATGTATTTTAAACATAACAGATTCTCCTGGAAATATGAAGTTTCCTCTTTAAGAGTTTCATAAGTCTACTGGATTTTTTCTTCTTTTAATCAAAAATTGCTTTAAAAATTGCTGAATAGTTCTTGTAGAGAAGTATTTTCCATACCAGGGGTCATAACTGCTTTGTAATTTATAAAATTAGTTTAATAAATTTTCATCAGGAAAATAACATAAAAGTAGATAAAGAAAAATATATAAAAATAAAAAGATCATCATCTTTTAAAATTCTCTCTGTGTGTTTTGTTATTCATATATTTCTAATTGTGGGTCACAGTAAAAAAAAAAAAAAAAAAAATTTAAAACCTGCACCTTAGGTGATACCAAAAAGTAATTTAGAGTGAATAAGAAATAGTATATAGAAAGAATTAACACTACGAAATAGTAACTAATTGAAAATAGTATGTTCCAGATGAAAGAGTAAGTCTTAGCTGCATCTCTAATACATTCTAGAGGAAATTTTCACAAAAGACTTCACAAAGGATAACAGAAACTTGAATTAATTTGAAGATAAGCATAAAGAAAGGGAGATTATATTCCTAGGAGAAGAAACAGTACAATTAAAGGTACTGTTGTCCGAGAGTAATGGTTGAAGAATCAGCTTTGAGAAATAGGTTAATACTAAATTAAAAAGAACCTTGAACATAATCCTAAGAATGTTAGCCACTATGTAATATACCATGATCTCTATTTTGGAGTAAGAGAGAGACTATTCGAAAAGAATGTGTAATAAAAATTCATATGGCAGTGACCTACAAGAAATATTATAAAGGGAAGGACATTGAGGCAAAGAAACCAATTAAGTGATTATCCAGGAACCCACTACAAAGCAAAAGTGGAGTATGAGTGTGGAAATGGAGAAAATGTGCAGAAGGTTGACACGTTACTAAGAACAAACTAACAGAACTACCCTGATGACCTCTATCCTCCCGATCTGGCTGTTTCTCTGCTATTTCCAACTTCCAGAAAGCCTATTTTTCACTGACCTCATCTTTCTTCGTTTCACAAGCAGCAAAGAAAATGCTAGAATTTCTGATTCTTAATAGCCTTCTTTCTCTTTCCTACTATTTTGAAACTTCTGTCCTTGAACTAGTATTTCTTTTGGAAATTTTTTTTGTTTTTATTGTTGTTGTTTGTTCTAATTTTATTTTGCTTTCCCTTAAGGAGTAAGATGTAATTTTGTAGTTGAAATTTACCCTGCTATTATTTCTTCTTAATTTGGGGGATATTTTCTTAAGGCAGTGATTTCAATTTATTATTATTATTATTATTTTAATTATTATTATTAATTATTATTATTTTCTTTTAGCAAAGGCTCATTTCTAATGAAACCTTATGTAGACACCCAAACCACAAATCTGTCAGCACTGGAGTCGCTGTGATTGAAGATTGCTGGGGCATTCCATTCTCTCTCAAAGCTGACCCTGAGCAGCTCTAGATGTTTCCTAAGGCCATACAGAGCAAATTTTAAAAAGCACTCTCTTCGGGTGGCCTGCAAGTTTTCATTTCAATAAGAAATGGTTTGGGTGCTTCATCATTTAAAAGAGGATTCTAAGGCTGGCAGAGAAAGGAGAGAATGGGGAAGTGTTTCTCTTTAACTAAAGATCTGGAAGCTGTTTGAAATTTCAGTGGTATTAATTACAGGTTATTTTATATTCTGTATTTCCGTGCCAGATTATAGCATACAGTTGCTGCATGATGCCATACAGTTCTAAACTCCCCATTTCTCCTCTTCTTTAATGGTACTTTGCTTTCTTTTTCACTGTGCTTTTATTACGGTCAGGGACTCTAGTCTTTTCTGGATGGAGATAAGCAATTGAAGATGTATTTTCTGACAGGAAACATAATAAGATCAAAATTATGCTAAAATGAGGATTTATTTTCATTATGAAGTTTTACAGGAAAGTATGACTCATCTGAGTTATCCTATTTTAAATATAAATGCAGCATGTCTGTTTTATATGGATTATTTTAAAAGTAGTATTTTTCTATATGGATTTGCGCTTGAAATATGTATCCCTTCCCCTCTATTATTTAATAAACAAAAGTAACATCAAACAGAATTAAGGTTTATTCTAAATGATGCCGAAAGAGTCTTTCAATTGTAAAAGAAAAAAAAATGCTTAACTCAATTATTTTGAATTATGCAGTTTTCTCAAATATTTGTTTGAATTATGTCTTTTAGTATTCAGCCACAATTGTGCGACAGCCAGTAAGCATCTATAAAACAATGCCTCTTCTTTCTTCAGCTTCTAAAATTAAAAGAAAAAAAGATGATTCTAGTATCTCACTCTATTAGGAAAGCTGGTACCGAAAGGTATCCATAGGTTTAATCAGATAATGTAACATAAAAAAGAGGTAGTAATCTGTGTATTCTTAAATATTCTTACATTTCAGTGCCGACAGCTTTATCTTTAAATAACAGTTCCACCCCGCTGCTAATTATTTGGCAAAATGCAAATAATACTTTATAATAACTTACCAATTAGTTAATTTCTTTGAAAATTCTGGAAATTGTTGTTAATACACATTAACAACATTTACTATTTTCCTAAGAGTAGCAATTTAATTAAAAAATATAACCAGCATTCTAATATATGATTTTCCTTCTAAATAAACTTTAAACAGGCCAGGCCTTTTCACCGTGGAAAGAATGAACAGCATGTTTGCTAGGAATTAAAATATGCCTGGGAGCTCTCAATTAAATTAGACATTAACTGGTCTGTTTGGCTTCAAATAAAATGAAAATGAAAGTTGATGCTTCTTACAAGAATTTTCTTAAAAACATATTAGTAAATATTGAATGATAATGTATAACATGCTTTAAAAAACTTATGGAATATTTTTCTGTCTCTTAAAGCTTCAAATTAACTATGATCTTGGAAATCTCATAATACATATTCTCCAAGCAAGAAATCTTGTTCCTCGAGACAACAATGGTTATTCTGACCCTTTTGTGAAAGTGTACCTTCTTCCAGGGAGAGGGTAAGTAAAATGAAGAAGTATTTCATCTCATGTTTTAAAACAATAGTATAGTGTTTTCTATTCTTTAATTTCAGCACCTCATTTTAATTGACTTTATTATCTTTTCCTTACTTTCCTCCACATGTCATATTTATTTATTTCCAATTAGTAAGTAAGGTGGAATTAAAAACTTATAATTAAGCCTTACAGGGTTCTAGAAGAACAGTGATCAAAATGAAACCAGCCTCCAACAGAGCAAATCAGCCTTTCAATTCTGGAAGTCACTCCTGTGATGAACTATCAGATTCACTATGAAATCATTTAAGGAATTATTTGTGTCAAAGTTAAAGAATTGGCTTACCTTCCCAAATTTATCTGAGAAATCGATATTCCAGGACTCACAAGTTACTGTTTATTTTTACAGGACATGTGTATTTCCCAATATGTTAGTGTTGATTAAAGGGTTCCCTGATGTATCCTTATTTATAGGCGTATTTCCAAATCACTGATTTAAAAATTATAAAATAACACAAAGTAATATTAGAAGTATTGACTTTGGTAAATAAATAAAAAATATCTCTTTGAATCTCTTGTGTGATGTATAAATTGTTGATATAGTCAAGTGTTCTTTGGAGATATTTAACTCTCACATAAGGCAAATTGCTGTGATCTGGTATATAAGTCAGTACTCAAGTATGGTTTTGAAACACTGATTTGAACCCTACAAATTATTATCCTTCACTTGAACAATTCATATCAGCCAAATTAGCAAGATGGAAACATAAGATCAACAAATGGAGGTAAAATAAAAAGAATTTTGAGTTGGTAATTTAAAGAAACTGGTTTTATTTTCTTTTCATTTTCCTTTTAATTTGTGGAGTGACATTTGAATTTTCCCTTTAACTTGGAAATTTTCCACTGTGGAACACAAGTAGAAGGAATACTTTGACCCACCATGTACCCATCACGCAACCTCAACAGTTATCACTTAGTGACCAATCACGTTTCATTTTTCCTCATACACTCATAAATCTCAGCTATTATAATTATTTCTGCAAATATTTTAGTATATATTTCTGAAAAATAAAACTCATTTAAAAATAACCTTAATACCTTGTATAAACACATATTTAAATTGTTCAAATAATTGTTTGGTTGCCTCATAATATTTTCCTAGTTGGTTTGATGATCTAATTGATATTTACAGAATATACTACTCGTCAATAGCAAATTACATATTCCCTTCAAGTACACATGGAGCATTCACCAAAATAGACTATTTTCTAGGACATAAAATAATCTCTGGCAAATTTAAAAGCATTTTAATTATGTGAAGTGTATTCTTTGACTGTAGTTGGTTTGTTTAAAGAAGATCCAAATTAGAGCTATACGCTGAACTTCAGTCTGCTGCTTAGTATTTATATCACCACAGGCAGATCACCAATTTCTTTGAAATTCAGTATTCTTGTCAACCCTGAGAGCCAAGGTAGGCAGAATCATCATGTTTAGCTTGTCAGGAGAACCAAATTAGATAATATTCTGAAAATAATTTTTAAATTGCCAGGTGCTATGTCAAAGTTAGTTCACAGCTTTTAATTTCATCCTTCTCAATAATTTTATTTTAAAAACTTGGAATTGTTGGTATGGTTGCTCTAGTTTTACTTTATTGAACATTTTGAAAAACCAATAATTTTATGTAGAGATTACCAGTAGTCACACAGTACAGGAAAAGGTAGTTTTTGTTTTATGTTCATTCATTTATATCTATATATAGTAGTTGTAACTATAATTTGGCAATATCTTTTATAGTTTAAGAATAACAACAAGGCCGGGCGTGGTGGCTCACGCCTGTAATCCCAGCACTTTGGGAGGCTGAGGCGGGTGGATCACGAGGTCAGGAGATCGAGACCATCCTGGCTAACATGGTGAAACCCTGTCTCTACCAAAAATACAAAAAATTAGTCGGGCGTGGTGGCGGGCATCTGTAGTCCCAGCTTCTCGGGAGGCTGAGGCAGGAGAATGGCATGAACCCGAGAGGTGGAACTTGCAGTGAGCCGAGATCACGCCACTGCACTCCAGTCTGGGAGACAGAGCGAGACTCGTCTGAAAAAAAAAAAAAAAGAATAACAACAAACTGATAACTTCATTCTGCGTTTGATGTTTGATTTGAGTCATTAGACCTTCATTGTTATTTATGACAATATTATGATACAAGGAGAAATCACTGCCAAGGATTTGTCTGTAATTAGCATTTGTAAATGAAAGAATGAAGATAAAGCATTGTTGTTTATATTCTATATTCTCTAATGATATCCTGGAATACAGAGTACGTACCTTTTATTTATTACAGGATATGTGTCAAGTAGAATATTACAAACTTAAAGAATCATGAAGGACAGGCAGGTAACACGAATCTGTCAGTCCATTCTGGGGTGAGCAACAAGGAATGGTGGGAACCATGGTGAAATGGAGAACAAACACCCCACCTAAAGCTATCCTCCTGTGGTTTGACAAATAAAACATCCCTACTTGGTGAGGTTTGACTCAAAGGCAGCTAATAAGCTGCTCCTATTCAATTCCTAGGTCTTGTTTTCAATTACACTCCTAATTATTAGACAAGCAGAGGCCTTGGAATGTATTACACTTGCAAGGTATTATTTTCACTGTAATTCTAGCATTATTTTCTGCCTCATGTCATTTATATGTTATGGAATAGCTCTTCTAGTTATTATTTTCATATTTTCTTTCTTATTTCTGTTCCTAACTATTTTCTTCCTATCTTTTCTACTTTCCTGTTTTACCCTTCACTCTCGCTCTTGGAATCAATGCAGTCAAGTCATGGTTGTCCAGAATGCAAGGTAGAGTTGTTTCTCTTTCAGTGTCAAGCTATGCTGTTATGCCTTGAGTTATGCTTTTTGCATTTTTATGTACATTCACTTGCACTTCAACATGGGCTGTAACTTGTTTTTTTCTACATGTTTGTGTCTATTGAATCAGCACTACAACAAATTGTTCTGAGCATATTTCTAAATAGCTTTAGCAGATGTGTGCAATAGAACACAGAAAAGTAGAAAATATCAAAAACATAGAAACGATGAATAAAATATATTATTACCATGAAATTAGACATAACTAAAGTCTCATTTATAATCTAGTCACTAAAACTCATTTAGCTTCTCACATAATAATCATGAGTTCTCTTGAGTCTTCTACTGAAATAAAAATATAGTCACTTTTCAAAAGTAATTAATGGATCTTCCGGATGTCCAGTGCAGGTGTGTATCCCATCAGGTGCGGTGACTCATGCCTGTAATCCCAGGACTTTGGGAGGCCGAGGTGGGCGGATCATGAGGTCAGGAAATTGAGACCATCCTGGCTAACACAGTGAAACCCCATCTCTACTAAAAATACAAAAAATTAGCTGGGGGCGTGTTGGCAGGTGCCTGTAGTCCCAGCTACCCGGGTGACTGAGGCAGGAAAATACATGAACCTGGGAGGTGGAGCTTGCAGTGAGCTGAGGTTGTGCCACTGCACTCCAGCCTGGGTGACAGAGTGAGACTCTGTCTCAAAGAAAAAAAGAAAAAAGAAAATAGGTGTTTGAACTTGGCCCCTCACTTGAACCTAATGTTGAAACATTTTCATGCCTTTATAACTTCTGCCCCACAAAATTTCTGCTGTGCAATGTAGAATGCCATAATTGGCTTGCTGTAGTATATTGGCAATAAGATAATTTTCCTTTGTTCCCAATAGTAGGAGTGTTTTCTAATGCAGCTCATAACAAGTTGCATCATAACACTGTCAACTAAGGCAATTTCTTAGTACATAGCCAAAAGCATTATTTTGCACATCTCTCATTGCATTATAAATTAAATGTGTCATTTAGTTGGAAAGGCAAATCATGTAAGATCTGTAGCAATAGGGTGATGAGGATTTTAATCTCACCCAGATTATTAATGGTACAGCATTCGTTTTTGTCTATGACATTAAAATTTCACACATTTACTACTAATGAGCTGTTTCCCAAATGAGGCTATTTCTGATTTTTAAAAGCATAAATATGTAAATATTTCAAACAACAGGATTAGTTACCACAGCCTTGCTATTGCCCAGAAACTTTTTGTTTCCTTGCAGCCACATAATTGTGGCAAACAATGTAATCGACACTGTGATAGATTCCTCATTATGGCTGGTTCTCTCATCACAGAACACAATCCAGGTCTCTCAGGCTGATATGCAAAATTAGTTTTGTTTCAAAGAAATAGTATTATTTTTAGAACAGATATTATTAATCACATTATTCAGAATCTCCCTATCTTTTATATATAGAAACTTGGGGGAAATTTTCAGAATGATAGAGATTGTATTTAACTTAGAAAAGAGAGAATATTTTATAAATTATAAATAATGGCATGTCTTAGATAACTGTTTAAAAGATCTAGAAGCTACTCTCTTGTCTTTCATTTAGAAATCACTTTCACCATGTCTTTGAGAATTGTCAGTGTAAGAGGGAATTATATTGACAAGGTACTGACATTGTAAGTTAGACTATAGAAGCCAATGAGTGAGGTCCTTAAGAACTTGCGTTTGAATTTTAGCCCTGTCACTTAGAAGCTGTAAGATTTCTCTAAAACTATTTTTCTCTTCTGCAAAATAGGAATAATAACAGCTCCCTTCGCAGGCTTTCTGTGAAATACATGAAATAAATACATCAAAAGTGATAAGCATAATGTCTGGAACATAATAAGCTTTCAATCAATGGTAGTTGTTATTATTATTGCTAGGAATGTGTATCATACATTTTATGTAACCAATGGTTAGTTATCTCTGCAACAAAAAGGTACAGAATGCTTGAGCTACTGAATTATTTAAAAATACTATGTAGAAAATTAAACAACTTTCTTTAATAATAAAATGTAATACATCTTTCATTCTTAAATTAAAAATGAAGTCCTGTTAACTAGTTAAAAATTACACTGATCTAGTTTCCTTGTCTTCTTTATTTTCTTCTTCCCACCTTCTGATCAATATACTCAAACTCTGAAGGGCCAAATGTCAGGCAAGATAAGGTGAGAGAATGACAAGGAAAAAGTCTGGGTCATGCATGAACTCAATACTTTCTCTTGGATAATTAAGAAACGGAAATGAGCATACATGAAGGGCCTCGTTCTGATTTTCTCTCATCACACTGTTGAGCAAAGTGAAAATATTTTCTCGTTACTGAGTTTTTGTTATGAATGTAATAATTATTTTTAGCTATCATTATATCTGGAAGCCCAGTTCCTGGCTGAACCTTTCTCTAAACAGCATTGGTAGCCTATCAAACCATTTCCTCTGGAACCTATGGAAGGCAGGTACAGGTGTTGTGTATATTTACAATATGATGTCCAAAACGTATTTTACTTCAATAGATTTTAAAGGAAAACAGTATACAAGCATGTTCTAAGGATCACTGAACATTTACTTAGCACAGACTATGTGTCAGACACTGTGCCAGGTGCAGGGGTTACAATTGACAATGTAGCCATAGTCTCTGCCATCAGAGAGCAAAGAGGAAAATAAAATGATAGACAATAAGCACACCATTACACCATTAAACAGAGCTTACAAAATGGGATACAGGTTGTACTTTTTCTAAATTAAGAGAAGCAACCTCAGAGGAGTAATTTTGAAAAACGTGTGTGTGTGTGTGTGTGTGTGTGTGTGTGTGTGTGTGTGTAGTAAGTTTAGTAAAGGAAAACCAGATAAAACATTAGAAATGAATACCTTCAATGTTTTAGATTATTTTATAAAAGTAGATACACCAAGGAAGCCTTCAAATTTCATTATCTTTTCTCAATTTTTCTTTTGAAATTAAAAAATATGTACATGGAAACTGTTTTCCTGCTGGTCTTGAGTAGAATAATTGAATTTCAAATACTTTTTCAGACAGCCTTAAAAGTAGATATACCTATGCACGACAAAATAGCCAATAAAAACAAATAAAAAAATAAACCACCAGTACTTTGGGAGCCTGAGGAGGGCAGATCACGGGGTCAGGAGATGGAGACCATCCTGGCTAACACGGTGAAACCCCGTCTCTACTAAAAATACAAAAATTAGCCGGGCGTGGTGGCGGCGCCTGTTGTAGTCCCTGCTACTGAGGCTGAGGCAGGAGAATGGTGTGAACCCGGGAGGCGGAGCTTGCAGTGAGCCCAGATCGCGCCACTGCACTCCAGCCTGGGTGACAGAGCCAGACTCCATCTCAAAAAAATAAATAAACAAGCAAACAAGGCAAAACTTCAAGGGGGTGAAGTTTTAGATATTTTTTGATAAGCACCATGTCCCATCTTTATGTATTGACCTTTTTATTTTCCCTTATTAATAAACTTATTTGATTATTAGATATAATTGTCCTAATTTCCCTAATGTTAAATCATTAATGTAATCTTCCCTCAAGAGAATATAGTGTGTTTACTAGACAAGAAAGGAAAGGGAGGATGAACTCCACTTATTTCTCAGCTTGACTTTATGCTCACATTCAAGAATCCCCCTGTTTACCTGCCTACCTTCAACTTGTAAATCCACAGATTTTGATACGACTATTTTGTGTAGAGTTTTAAATTGTGTTAAGTGGCAACACAGTTCATTGAAATTGTGTACGATATGATCAGAGCATGGTAGTTATAAAACAAGTGTTATTGAGGAATGGCTTCGTGTGACCAGCTTGTGTGTCAGGAAATGCAAGTGCAAAAAATACTGCAAAGGCTTTCATTGGTGTTTAGGAGCAAGCTGTTTTTACTTTCATTAATTCTAAAGGCAATGGATGTTTTAGGTCTGTAGAGAATTGGAGAATCAAACTCATTACTATGATTAAGATAGTCTATTAAAATGAACATTTTAACTTTTGTCCAATCAGTTTAGGTTATTTCTAAATGTATATGGTCAAACATCAGGTATTTATCAGTATTTATAATAAGTAGGCCTAACTGTTCCACAACACTCGCTTAGGATGTACTGTTCAGGATTTCCCTAGGCAACTCTAAAGATGGCCTAACTTGCTCATAATGTTTTTAATGTGTGTGTACACATTATACATAATTTATATTATATGTATAAAAATTATATATTTAAATTGAGATGGAGAATTTTAGATTATAAAGAAGACAAACTTGATACTTCAGGTAGCGAAGCCTGCAATTAAGAAAATAGATGGATGTCACATTTTATGATGGGCCTAATCAACTGAGTTCATATAACATTTATTTAAGAGCAAAAAATCAAATTAACTATGTTTGAATCCTGGTCCTACCAGTTAATAACTATGTAACTTTGACAATATGCCTTAATTTTTCCGAGCTTCAAGTTTTCTCGCCTATAAAATGGAATAAGAAGTAATACCTGTAAAATGGGGTTAATATGAGTATTACATGAGTTAATACATGAAAAGCACTTAGAACTTTACCAGAGGGAAGAATAGGCATTTAATAAATGTTAGTTATGATTTTAATATGCTTACTTTTAAAAATGCTTTTCATGCATGAATTAAATACATACTCATATGTCAATACAATACAAGGGTTTTTTACTTGATAGAGATGTACAATTCCTGATACGGAGTTGGCATTCAATAACTTTTGCTAGGTGTATAAGTGAAAACAAAGACTAAATGTGGATTTGAACAATTTGAATAACAATTATTCACATGTATGGATTAAGAAAAGATAGGGACTGATAAATCCCTTCAAAGATACTTCAATACTACTGCAGACTATTTTAATATATATTGGCAGACCCAGAACTTTAGTGATAGTACATGGGTTTGCATTTGGTATTAATTCCCATCTTGTTAAACAAATTGCATATTTTTTAGAACTTAAAAAGCATAATTTTATTACTGTTCAGTATATTAGATAAATCTTAATATGGTTTCCATAACCTCACCACCTTGGTAAGTAAGTCCAAAACAAACAGAGGCTTTAAAACTCATACTACCATGTGTTTGTTTCCTATGTATATTCACATAGGAGAATAGCCATGATTCTCAAGTAGCAATCCACGTTTACTATTAACTGAAAAGTAGTCACTAATTCTTTCTATGTCACTATCAAAGTTATTAACTCTTTCTATGTATTAATTTCTATGTATTATTTCTGTGTAGACACTTTTTTGTAGACACGAATTCTATCGCCATCAAATTAAGTCATTAATTCTATGTTACCATCAAAAAAGAATCCAAAACTAAATTTAAAGCAACGTATCTTACTAAAAATTTTTGAATTTTTCATTATGAAATATTTCAAGTTTACTAAAAATTATAGAAAATACCCTAACAAATATCTGTGTGCTTGCTCTCCAATTTTGTCAGATCTCAAGATTTTGCTGTATTTGTTTTAGATGTTTTAAAATAAAAGATAATACCCGGAGGCTTTCTGAAATCACTTCCCTGTCCATCAAAAAAACTCACTAAATTGAATTTAATATTCATAATTTACAAGTTTTCTTACAATATTAATATATGTATGTCAAATATACATGTATATATGATGTGTAATCGTATTTCACATGATTTTATCTTTGTACCATTATACCATACTATATTAAGTGTTTGATCAAAACTTTTTTCAAGATATATCTATCTTGATATATGGAGGCTTTTAAAATTTATTTAATTGATTTTCAGTGCCACTTACTATTTCATTGAAATGAATACATCAAAATGTATTTATTCTTTCTTCTATTGGCTTACTATTGAAATAATGTTACAATTAATATTCTTGAACAAATTTCTTGTTCACAGGTAGGAGAATTTATGGTAGAAGTGGAATTAGTAGAAATTGAATATTTGGATGTTTAGGTATATAAACTTAAACTTCACCAGATATTGACAAATTTATCTAAAAAGTCTATATAGAAACTTCCTATCCACAGTCTATGAGAGCTCCTCTTTCTTTAAATCATTGTCTGTATATTTCCCTAAAGTTGTTTGTAATTTATCTTGAGTGACAACTGTCAAATTGTGTACATTCAAATTGGTTGAAGTGGGAGGAACACTGCTTTATTTCAATTGGATTCAGCTCACAATGGCTGACTTGTGAAGTGTTATGAAACACCAACTCGGTGCTTCTTAATCTTGGCTACACATTAGATTCACCTTGGAGCCTTCAAAAATCCTAATATTCAAGCCTCATCCCAGACTAATTACATCAGACTTTCCTTCGGGGTGTAAGCAGGGTTAAGAGGGAAGTGGGTGAAGGGTTGACTGACCCACCTCCCACCACCAGAACTCAGGTGATCCCGTTATGCAGTCAATGTTAAGAATTACTTCCCTTGTATCTGACTGGTAAGAAAATAAAATCAGAGAGACAGGGAAAGTACTTGCCTGTAGGCCCATCTTTAAAAGTAAGTGGTGAGCTGGAGTTTGATTCTCAATAGCTTTCTCTAGAATGTGTAGGTAAATTAGTGGCTGGGGAAAATTTCCAGGCATCCAGGATATGGCAGTATTTGAGACCAGGAATGTAGCAAGAGTTAGTTTGACAATAGTTTGGAATAGAACTACAGATTACAAGGGACAGGATCCAGCCCCTTTTAGGAAAGGCAACTTGTGAAGTCCAGACATATGTAAAGACTCCCAGACAAAGAGGTTGGTTTACAGGACTCTAGTGTCCACCAGAGATGAAGTATTATTTAGAACGTGAGACATAAGCTTAGGCAGAAAATGCAGAAAAAAAGCAGTGAGAGTTAGAGAAAGGCCTTGTCTGTGTGGGCACCATTTGGTAATAGCAAATGACAGTAATCTAATTTCAACCCCATCAGTTGGTGACAGCTATACATGTTCTGCCAGACTTAATTAGGATATGCTTTGAAAATTAAGTTGTTTTTAAATGTGTAGCATAAGCTTCTAATTGGTGCTCAGAGGAAATGGAAAGTCAAGGATTAATGCAAATGTCCCAAGTTATAATAATTGAGGAAAGATTTTATTTGGTTCATCAATTGTAAAATAACATATTGACATAAACCAAAAATTTATATTTAATTAAAATTGCTTTATAACTGCATTAAATATACTTTACCAAGAGTGTTGGTAAATATACTTTAAATATCAGATAACAAGTGTTTATGGAATGTCAGCCACAGCAACAGCCATTCTTCATCTTTTTCTCCATCAGTACAGTCATTACAATGTTTTAGTTTTGCTTTTCCATACATGCAAAACTATAGGAAAGTTAAACACCAAATTACTGTTTATCGGGCAATAACATTGATGTTACCATTTAGTTCATATAATTATCTCCTACGTTCAGGAAAGAGTAAGATTTCTAAATTATAGTATAGTTAGAACACCTACAAGCATTTCTTTAAAAAAAAAAATCTTTAGGGCAAAGAAAACTGCAAGCATCCAACATATTTTTAAGTTGTCACTGTGCATTCAGGGTTTAAGACATGAGGATGATGAGATAATTATATAGTGATTTGAAATAAAATATCTTGAATAGTCTGCATGTCCTTTAGTTTAACTGTGAAGTCATCAACTAAGATGAATAATCAAGATAACTCTTTCTTTTCTCCCAATTCAGTGCTGAGTACAAGAGAAGGACTAAATATGTCCAGAAAAGTCTTAATCCTGAGTGGAATCAAACAGTAATTTATAAAAGTATTTCCATGGAACAGGTATGTAAAGATTATTTCTAGGTGACAGAATTAGGCTAATATAAGTACAGTGATAGCACAATTATTCAAAAATTGGATCTATATACATTTTGCCAATCAAACAGAAAAAGTTGAGTAAAATACATGTAAGAAATGTAGACAATGGAAAAAAAATGAGTGACGTTTAAACATAGGGTGAAAGTAAATGTGCACATTTTGACAAAGCAGCCAAAACATAAACAAATAAAATAAGAAAACTAGTGGAATATTTTCCATTGATTATTTCAGAATTTAAAATTTTTAATAGACTAAGCCACAGTTATCAAATTTGAGAGGGAAATATATTTTCCAACTGGCTATATTTTGACTTTCATACACAGTATACAGAAAAAATAAGATTCAATGCATAGAACTGTATTACTGCACCAGACAATATTTTAGGATCTCATCTCTTTGCTAAATTGAGGCCTCCTAAGAATTTGGCACTGTGGTGCTAAACTCTATAGAAGAACACAAAATGATGGCTAGTATAAAGGGTTATCACCACAGATAAGTAACTGTAGACAAAATTACACTAATGTGCTTCTGAAAATCTGCATTTTTATAACTTTGCTTGAGTAACAGACAATAACTGAAATGTATAAAGTTGAATTCAGAGAGAAGACTGCAAAGACAGTTCCCATATAAACCAATTTACAAGTGAACTGTCTTTCAAAATGAGGTTCTTAATTTGTCTTCTAGTAGATTAATTTGATTACAAAAACAAAGCTTGATATAAATTATAATCTGGGTTTGTGAATTTAAAATAAACTCACCTGCAGAAATAAGACAATGCTACTAAGTTTTTTAGAAATTGCTGAAGCATCTAATCCAAATACTTCATCTATATAATACTAGACGTTTTTGCAATCTATGAATTTCTTATATTTAGAGTACTTATAAATTCTGATTTCTATTTTTGAAAATGAGGTGGGGATACAATAAATAAGAATTATCATTTTATTCACAAAATAATGTTCCATATGATCAAACACTAGAGTGCAAAATCATTCAAATTTTATGTAATATTTAATATATTTAAACTACATCGTTTTTGGTAAAATTTTAAGTATTTTCACATAAATGGAAGGAGTTTAAGGAAATAAAAATAAATATGTCTACTGTATATGTATAATGAAAATGTATGATGGAAAGATAGGTTAATTAGGTTTCTATTTGAACTATATAGCTCAAGAAGAAAACACTGGAGGTGACAGTTTGGGATTATGATAGATTTTCATCCAACGACTTCCTTGGGGAGGTAAGCCTCTGACTTCCTTTCCCTTATTTGCTGCTATGGTAAACCACCAATTAAAGCATGATGCAAAGCATATTTCTGAAGTTTGTAAGATAGCCATTTCTGCATAAAATCTTTTGGCAGATAGAATTTATTTCCTGATTTACTCTTTGAGTAGATTAATACCAACTCAAGAAATGATTTTCACTCTATCACTTGATGTACTTTATAATTAATTTCTAAGATGAAATTTTGTTTCAATAGGAAGATATGCAATCATACTGTGAGTCCAAATGAGATTTGAAGTAATAAATTTATTATATTATAAAATGGCCTGGACTTTTCAAAATGCATTTACACGTTCTTTAATTGATTCGATGTGACATATTGCATTGTTATTTATAATTAAGTTTCCTGAGAAAAATTGCTGAAAACATTTTAAGAAGCAAAACTACAAGTAGGAGAAAACAATAAAAACAATTTTTACATTAACATCAAGGAATCAAAATAACCTAATTGTATGCCTGTGTCAGAAAATCTCATATACCCCATAAATACATACACTTACTATGTACTTGTAAAAATTTAAAAGTAAATAAATAACCTAATCATGAAATTGGTAGAGTGAACAAATCTTGTGATTTTTTTAATCTATTATATATATACACACATGTATAGATATATACACATTGTTTATAGATATGAACATAATACATACATTGTTTATACATAGGAACATATGTATAATGTAGATATGTACACATTGTATAATGTAGACTATATATTATATGTTGTATATACACATATATTATACATTGTATATACATATATTATACATTGTATACATAATGTGTATATACATACAATGTATATGTGTCTGTATACTATACAGTGTATACAATTGTATGTATAGTGTATATATGTTTATGTACACATTATATATACAATGTATATATACTATACATATATAAAATATATACTATACATATATAGTATATATAATATATATACACACACACATATCGTTTAGTGTTCTGCTTAGGGTAGAAGTTATAAATGAATATTAAAAATAATCTCCAAAACCTACAAAATATGATATCCTTTTGATAGAGATTATATAAAACGGTTGTGTAATCAAGGTGATAATGAGGCCTTGTTTGGTTGTTAAGACTTTGCACCTCTCTTTTCACCAAAACCGGAGCATTTGACCCTTACCTTCCAGCTCCATCCAGCTCTAGCCACTTGGACGAATCTTGATCTTAGGCAAGAGTACTCTAGATTAGTATTATGTCTGACTTTATGTCTCAAAAAAGTGACTTATTGAAGTCCCTCTAATTTATGGTCTTATGTCTATATGAGCCTAAAGCATATATCCATTGGTCTGGTTTTCATTTCTTTTTAGCTCATCATATCTAAGATGTCAGCAACTGCAAAATGCACCAATGTACTAAGAAAAAAAAAGTTGCCAATTAAACTACGACAAAATGTGTTAGTCATATCCCTATTTCAAATGTGAACTAAAGTGTGTTTTAAAATAGAATAAATAAATTTATAATTGCAACTTTCTCATTCTTTTCCAGTTTGTCTCTTTTGTGACTAAAATCAAACATTTTTCAAGGTTGCTAGTCCAGTTTAAGATTAGAATGAGTTATGAGTTCTTTTTTTTTTTTCTTTTCTGAGACGGAGTCTCGCTGTGTTGCCTGGGCTGAAGTGTGGTGGCGCGATCTCAGCTCACTGCAAGCTCCACCTCCCGGGTTCACGCCATTGTCCTGCCTCAGCCTCCCTCGTAGCTGGGACTACAGGCACCAGCCACCACGCTCGTTTTTTTTTTTGTATTTTTAGCAGAGACGGGGTTTCACTGTTAAGATTAAAATGAGTTCTTACAACAAAAAGAAGTTTTGTTTTATGAACAGATTGACTTGTGACCCTTTTAAGATCATATCCAAATAATTTATTTAATAGTCAAAAATTTTATACAGTTCAGTTCAAGCAAACATTTATTAAGCATCTAGTATGTAAAAGACATTGTTTCCAGTATCACTGGTGAAGAAAAATGAAGAAGAAAGAATCATCATCCTCAAAAGTTATACTGTATTCCTTGGTTTATATCCTTTAATAAATTTTAGAACATAGAAAAAGTAATGAATTAATCATACTTTAGTCCCTAAATTTCATTGATTTGTTACACTTTTTTCAGGTATTGATTGATTTATCTAGCACATCTCACCTCGATAACACTCCAAGGTGGTATCCTCTCAAAGAACAGACTGAAAGCATTGATCATGGCAAGTCGCATTCCAGTCAGAGCAGCCAGCAGTCCCCAAAGCCATCTGTTATCAAAAGCAGAAGCCATGGTATCTTCCCTGACCCATCAAAGGGTAGGAAATATTTTTTAAGCAGAAAAAGCTTTGTGTCTATTTGTTCAGTCTGTATCTTCTTAGTGTGAATGTTTGTACATTTAACATATACTAATAGACTAGACATGACTGGAAAATACTTAATATAATGTCATGCAAAGAGTGATGGATGTGGAGTCAGGAGAAATGGGCTTTATTCTCAGATCATCACCCATACTTAGGTGTAGGACTTTGTTATCTTCACTTCTCTAACTGTCCATTTTCCAACATGTAAAATGGAGGAGGTTGGACTATATGAGCTGTTTGGTCTATTCCACCTCAAAATCCATGATAACATGATTTCAGAAAATGCATTTGGGTATTTCATAAAGATAATAGAAAAATCCCTACTGGTTCATTGACTAGACATAATCATCATTACCATTAAGGTATAATCTTTCTACTTGTTGAATCTCTGGTTGTCCATAAATATTGTCTTACCCAATAAATATAATTTTGCATGCTACTTTTTATTTATCATACAAAGAATATTTTCCCTTGTCATCAAAACAATTGGTATGCTGAAATTTACTTAAGTCTTTCCTAAATGTTGAACTCAAGCTAATTTTTTAATAAATTATTATTTTTTAAATAACAGTGCCATACATTGGGTTTGACAATATGCAAATATGCACAGCACTCTCATTCAAATGAGCTTTTCCTTTGAGAGGTTCATTACCAGCTGTCCTACAACACAACATTAATCCTCATCATAAACTGAGTTACTGCCTCTGTGGGATAAAACGTGTGGTACCTTACCTACATATACTGAACTATTTATAAGTATTAAATATAATTTTTATATTGGACTTGAATATTACTTCCTTGTCACCTTTTCTAGGAAAGTCCATCAAATTGAAAAGTGGTTCTTTGTACATGAGATTCTCTGAATCATAAATGCAAATGTTCTAGGAGATGAGAAAGTGAGTCCATGTCCAGTAGGCCACTGAGTTGGTATCATAAACCACTGACTATGAGTGCTGTAGATTATTTATTAATGAGTTTTATAGATCATTTATGGGTTCTACTTAGCCATCTCAACTCTATCTTGCTTAACATTCTGCAAGATCATTAGTATAAAGATCTCTTTCTATGACTGCCTTAGGAAATATGTGATCCATACATTCTCTACAATGGTTTGAGGCATGATTCTACAATCTCCACATTTAATATGTCCTAGTGACTTACATCCTTCATCCTGTTTTTACTTAAAACTCCTCCTGTGTACCGTCTCCTACCTGACCTGTACTGGAATTAGCAGAGGTGCTTGGTGAAACTAGAAGTTAACATATTTATTACTAGAAGCTAGTCAGAATGTATTTCTTTTTTCAAAGTTATCTCTTCTCATTGCTATCATCCTTTTGCCTTTCCTCCCCCAAATTGTTTCCCAGATGTTTAATCACAGTTCTCTATGATGACCAGTTGCATAAATGAATCATATAAGACCCAGAATTAACATAAAGTTTAGACAGTTTCAAATTATGTGTAGACTAAGCTTGACAGGAGGAGTGCTGGAACAACTTTAACTCATGTTTTACCCTTTTGTGACCAGACATGCAGGTTCCCACCATTGAGAAATCCCATAGTAGTCCTGGTAGCTCAAAATCATCATCAGAAGGCCATCTCCGTTCTCATGGACCATCTCGCAGTCAAAGCAAAACCAGCGTCACTCAGACCCACCTGGAAGATGCAGGGGCTGCCATAGCTGCTGCCGAAGCTGCCGTGCAACAACTCCGCATTCAACCAAGTAAAAGACGCAAATAAATTCCTCAGCATGGCAGCTTAATGTTCATCTGTTGCCTTTCTCTCCTGCTGTCCTTTCCTGTTTGCTTTCAGTTTTCAACATCCTCTGCTCACCCTGTTCTCTGTCCCTTCGTCTGTGTAAGAACGATATCAATACATTAATATGCTCTCTCTTATTTAGAATTTTTTTATTTACATAGACTGAAATAAAACTGGCTGTTTCTCCTTTGTTTACACCATCCATCCAACCTGGCTCATAGCATTTGATACAGTGTCTGTGATGTTTGGAGGCAAAGCAATGTTGTGTGTCCTTTTTGTTTGCGCTTAAATATCTTTTAGAATACAGAAATTATAAGCACAAGTGGCTGCCAGTTTTTCAGACCTTATGCCAAAAAATAAAAAAGTGCACTCATATAAGTATTTAGAGCAGATTCACAATTAGATTCTTGTGTCTGAAAACACTCAAAAAGTCTAGGCAGAAGATAATGCAACCAACAGTCAACTTCTAGAACCTTGGAGGAAAAGCCATTTCAAGACAGTGCTTTAAAACACTAATAAATTATGCTTGTGAAATATGGTAACTTTCCATGTGCAAAAATTTGTAGTCTTGAAAAGTCTGTGAAGAAAATCTTATTTCTTATATTCTCAAAAAACTACATTAAATTAATATATATATAAGCATATGTCATGAGGCAATGCAACTTCATTGAGGAGCACAATTGGGTCCATTCTGTTGGATCACACTTTGTATGCAATGACAGATTTTACAGATTTTTTTTCTAACCATTGGAAATCAAAATGTACCATGTCTGGTAGCTATAAGTCAAGCAAAATATAACAATTGACCTATCTTAACTGCTGTATTTTCATTTCATTTGTGAAAATTTAGTCAATTGATATAATTATATAAAAATAAGTGCAAATATTTCACAAATGTAGGTGCCCTGTTACTTCTAAAAGGCATTAGCCAGGCAATGGAGATAGATCATTGTTCTCTGCATCTCCCTAGTCATCATTTCCAAAGAAACAGCCAGTTTTAAACCCCTTTAGTGCTGTGCATGTGGTGTCATTTTGGCATTTGAAAACACAACTTATTTAAATACAGCAAAAGAGCACTTCTGTTTGCATGAATAACATTTAAGCTGGTTCCATCTGAGGATACATACTCTGGGTTTCCATTTCACCCACACTGCCACAGCAGCACATAAAAGCGGTCAGTCTAATCATGCCAGGAAGCAGCACAGACACAGCATAGCAGGAGTCCTCCCCATTCAAAGAACTCAGTCTGATAATCTGCCTCCACCAGCCAATGGCAACCAAGACCAAAGCCAGCTAGCCCTCAGGAAGGTGATGTCTGATGGACCAGTCAAGCCAGAAGGAGGTGAGCAGAAAGGCCCTGTTCAAAGCACACAGCAAGAACATCCCCCAAATTTAAAGCTCTCCTCTTTAATTTTTAGAGATTGTCTGATAAAATATGTTTATCCACTTTTTAATGTGCTTTTGTGGGCATGGCATTTCAGGACTTCATCATCACCATGTAAGTCCCAAGACCAGTCCCGTAATATATTGACTACAGTGATTTGTATTTTTCTATGCACTGGGCATCTTTTGACTTTTGTTGGGAAATAGATTAACAATATTCATATTGCAGAATGGAATGCATGCTACTAACCTAATCTGTTCAAGCATGACTATAAATATGTTTCATTGTGATAAAAGTTTAAATTGCTCACAGTTCAAGTTAGCCTACCAGTTGGAATGTGGATCAGTTTTTGTTGCCTATTATTTCAAGTGTAACTTTTAAAAATTTAGTGGATTTTGAAAATTCTTAGAGGAAAGTAAAGGAAAAATTGTTAATGCATTCATTTACCTTTACATGGTGAAAGTTCTCTCTTGATCCTACAAACAGACATTTTCCACTCGTGTTTCCATAGTTGTTAAGTGTATCAGATGTGTTGGGCATGTGAATCTCCAAGTGCCTGTGTAATAAATAAAGTATCTTTATTTCATTCATAAACTACTGGGTTCTGAGCCATTGTTATATGATGCAGCTTAAAATGAATGTGTCAGTTTTGTTTTCTCATTTGATTTCGTTGCAGTAGATTTTAATTACTGCTTCATTGCTAGTGACAGCTGTAATGATTGGACATTTGAGAGCAGGACAAAGTTCCATCTTGGAAACACTGTAAGATAGATGGAAAATTGTCACCAAATAAAAACATCAGAGATTACATTAAAATGTAAATAAATAATGGGATTGGGCTACCCTAGGCAACATTTCTGCTATTTCTGTCTCCCACGTCTGATCTACTTTGCAATCTTCTCAGGTTCCTGGATAGAGGAAGGTAAATTCCATTGCTTTGGAGAAGTGGCTAACCTTGAACTCATAGCTGTGTTCAGAAACGAAAGCACATGTACATCTGTAACCTAACCCCAACATTTCTAGAATTTTCCCCCAAGAAAGAGTGCCACTGCCAGTGACAAAGAATGAAGCTAGGGTGATTATACAATTATCTTCAAATTTAATTCAAAAGCACATATTAAAATAATTTTTTAAAAAAATAGGATAGTAGTATTTGTCCCCTTGAGTACTTCTCAGCCCTAAAATATTTGATTTTATGAGTCCATATTTGGCACAAAATTAAAATCAAGCCTTATACTTTCCTGTTGCATTCTTTTTATTCTCATAAAATTAAAAACATTTCATATGTCCTTCTCCCAATTAATTATATATGTGGTGGCAATGTAAGACATATGTCGCATTACAGAGGTAAACCACTGAGGTGTTTCCTAAATTAGGTAATTAAGGAAATAATCAGCTTAAACATTAGGATAATTCTGAATATGTGTTACTCAGCCCAGTTTATAGATTATCACCAAAGCACAATTTCTTTTTTCTTGTTAGCCTTACTAAAACTTTCATTTTTAAAATTCCACCTCTCACCTTTTCTTCCATCAAATAAGTTCACTTGATTTCATGTTATTCACGTTATTACTTGAAATATTCTTTTAATTATAAATGCCACAGTAATCAAACACTTCCCTTATTTCACACCTTATTTTTAATTATTGTGACTTAAGTGTTTCTACATAACATTTTATATGATTTTCTTCCTAGACATAGTCCTTAAAATTTATATTAAAGTGTTTTAATCCCTTTTTTTGAATAGTGCTCTAATAGATATTCTCATACATTTAGTCTTGTGATTGACTTAGAAGTCACTCTTTATTAAAATCGTAATCAAAAGGAAAACTAGATAACATAGCATGCTTTCATGTTTAATTTTGTTCTAATAGATGATAAATAAAAAGCCTTATTTTCTAAAGTATAATTTTTCTGCTATTATAAATATACCAATATAATTGATCCATGTATATTTCCAGACACTTCATAGCAAACATACTGTAGTGTTAAATTTATATAAAATGCAATATAAATTCTTTAAAGTGCAGAGAGAAAAACTAGGCAGAGATACAAACATATAAAAAGAACCTGCAAGTTCCTGTTCACTAACTGCAGAAGTATTAATAATAATCGTAAGTGTTGGGATAAAAGTGTCCCATTTCAAACCTCAAAATGGAGTTCATATAATCCCATCTGCATTCTGAAAATAATACTCTGCATTTGAATAGTTCTTCATGTTGTACAGAGCGTTTTGTCATCCATTTCTCATTTTATCACATTAAGTGGATGAGATAGTCATTTCAATATTCTTATACTTGTTTTTTTATGGGTGAGCAATCAAAGAGTCAGAGGGGTAGGCTGGCTGGTATAAGAACACACAGCTAGAAATTTTCAGAACTGACAAATATAACATTGTCTTGTGACTTTTCGAGTTACAATTTTTCAATACATTGTCTCCTTTAAAATCAAAGTCTCCTAGTTTTAATAAGAACAGTCACTTATGACTTCTCTCTCAAGTTCTTACAAATGATTAGCGGTAGCTAGAAATGATGGCGGAATTCAATTAATACTCTCTATCTACATGGTCCTCCTTTCTAAAGGTTGTTGATTTAACCTAGCAAAAGGAAGCCTTCCCACTGTGCAAGCCCAGTGAGGCATTAGGCAATGTTTGTGACTCCATTAGAAAAGGCTGTGGGTCCATCTGTAGGCATTTCTATCAAGAGTGACAAAAATTGTCCCTAAAGAGCTTTTCAAAGATTTTTTGTAAGCTTCTTAGCAGATTTCTGCTTGAGCTAGCATAAAATACGGGTCAAACAAGAATTATGGAGTAAGTCAAAAGGAATTTTTTCTTTCCCCCTGGGGTTTAGTTTCATACTAAAACACCTGATGGGAAAGTATAGACAGATTGTGCAAAACCATCCTGATGCCTAAACAACTCTCCGTAGTTAAAAACCTCTGGAAATGTTTTTGGTTGTTGTTGTTTTCCCCATGCTAGCTAGTTTGGTTGAACACAAGCCTTGCTATTTCAGAAGATTTTTTATTTGTTGGTTTGCTTGAAAACTATATCAAGACCAAAACAAGCTGAAGCATTCCTAAAACCTTGAAGATTTATTTAGTTGAAACCCAATATATTAAATTTAAGTACAGTTGAGAAAACCTGAGCTATTTTTGTTTGATACTAAGATTTTAGGTATGAGTTTTAAATTTAGAAACAGGCAATACAGGATGAGGAGAAACATACTGGTCAATAAAACAAGAGCCATTGGGACAGGTTGGAGAGATTAGGTGAGAAGAAAAATCATTAGATAAGTCATGCAAGGAATATGATTTCGAGTTCCTTGATGTGGCCGAATTGTAGGAGAAAAGCCTGATGCTACTTCCACAGACCACTACTGGAAACTCCACTTTCAATAAAGCTCATTTGCGGCACCTGTCAAAGAAGAGTTTCATATCCATGCGTTGCCTTGGTGAACTCTTACTAAGCCATCACTGTGGGAGCTTCTGCCTTGGGCAAGTGGTAGTGGGTGGATGGGTTCGGGAGCGGGTGGGACTGGGAGTGGAGGGAATTGTTGGTTACAAATGATAGTAGCTAATTAGCACCCCATTTTCTTTTGACCAGAAGTAGATGATCACTTCTGGTCAGAAGGATTTTAGCCCTCCCTGTTTCTGTAAAGGACAGGTCCATAAGAAAAATAAAGGAAAAAGCATAAGAGAAATCAGTTTCATTTGGAGGTGAAGTCTTCTTTAACATTGTATGTACAAGATTAATAAAAACAAATTTTACATTCCTCATTTCCATGTGTTTGTGCAAAAAAAAATTGTTTAAACCTTGAGCAGTTTAATATAAAAAGAAAATTCAAACTGTAATGACATGCGCATAGCAAACATCCAACAAAATCTAAGAGAATCAATTTGGACAATTTCAGCTTTCAGAGTTCTATACCTGTTTATCTGGTAATAAGAATTTCATTTTGTTGTCTGTGAAAATCAAAATGCTCTTCTAAAGTTTTGGTTTTGAGAGCTTCTACATTTTCTTGGAATGATTGACTATGCATTTTCAAATATTTCTATAGTCATTTAAATTTATTGCTAGAAATACCTCTGCCATACATACAGAATCAGACAGTAAATGTAGAACTCTGACCATATCACACTATCTCTTGTTTATGGACCTTCATTCCTGAAGATGAATTCACTGGCCTACCATCAATGGGTACTTCTGTTCTTTTCCAGTAGTAGCCATGGAACTGCACTGAGCCATCTGCATACTTTGGTCTGGTCCACAATGGGGATTTATATGTTCGTTTCATCTGACATGAAAAGTAAGACCAACTGGCCCATCTAAACACCAAACTTGGCTTCAAAATTGTTGTGCCTTAGTCATATGGTCTAGCTATGGGCCTAAATAATGAGGATGGGACTATTAATACATGATCTAAGAAGAAGAGAAAGGCCTAAATTTTACCATACCAAGATTTCTTAAATATTATTTATGACATGTCTTTTAAAATAATATCCATAAAGCCTAGTTTTTATAATGCAATTATTTTCAAAAAGTTAGTTGATCAGATTACCACCAGGAAGCAGGACCTGTGGAAATAAGACAGGCAAGTAAATGCTGATGGGGGAGGGAAATGAGAATGCCAATGGAGACACAGTGGGGGGCAGTCAGAGTACAATAAGAGCATGGGGCAGACAACTTTCTCACTTGGATAGGAGGATCATAGAACCAGGGATATGCTGCCCAAGGAGAGGTGGAGGAATGCCAAAGACACTAATTGTCAACTTAATAATAGTCCCCAAATCCAGATATCTAACTATCCATGAAATGCTTGGTTATTTTTCCACTTTTCATCCACATGTATTACATACATTATGTAAACCATAATATTTCACCCATTCTCCATTGTGCAACATGATCTGGGGAAAGAAACGTGGGTATGGGGTAAGATGAAAGGAATCTTATGTATACTGAA